AAGGACACACTGACAAAGAAGATTAATCAGAACTGGCTTTGACAAGCACTGTGGCATTTGGACAAGAACAAACTGGGAGGAGGGTAGAGAGAATGGTGCAGCGGTGAATGAATGGAAACCCAAAATCTCTGTAAATGTTTATGAAAAGTAATAAAATATAATTATAGGGGGAAAAAAAAGACTGACAACTAATACAATCCACTAGTAATTGAATGAACATAAATGTTCAATATTTAATTAATGTTTTACAATCACACAATTCTAGTTGTTGTTGTTGTTGTTACATATTGTGAAGTCTGAAGTTACTCACAGCTGACCCTCTAGTGAGTTTTTTGAGGTAGGAGGTTTTAAATCAGGAGGGAGGAGTCTGTCTGCCCACCTTTCTCTGACAGAGCTGCTGTTAGAATAGAACTGCTTATCTTTGGGTTGGTGGTACAACATTTTACCAGTAAGCCACCAGAGCTCCAAGTATAAGATAAAACTTGTGGAAATAAATAGTAATTTCTCAAACATAGAAAAAGATAACATTAATCACAATTACTGTACTGTAACATGACGTATTAGTTTAATTCAAATGTTAATCTATGTTACACTACATTAATCCAAACATCCATAAACATTTGCCATAATGACTTGCAAAATCAGCTCTCAGTAGAAAATTTATACATTTGTCACCTTTTCTTTATCACCAGCTTATGAGTAAATTTGTTTTTCCTATCCAAAAAAAACTTCTTTATTCTATGACAAACAAAATTTTTTAAAAAATTTTTATATTTTAAATACAGGTCTTCAGAAGAAAAATTTGCTAACAGTTTTTATACTTTTTTCAAGAATAAATTAAAATGTAACATAAAGCTATTTATACAATTAATATATAATATTAAATGGTAAAAACTATTGACACATTTATAGACAGGCTTCTTTGCAAAGCTGTTAAAGTTGGAAAAATTTATGTGAAGTTAAATGGCTTAGAAAGGAACAAGGACAGTGGTGGGGGAAAAAGAATAATGGTGATAATAATGAGAAGAAAAATTTACTCTGTGCTCACATAGTCTTTAAATCCTCACATAAATGCTGAGGGAGATACCACTAATCCTCATATTTTAAGGATGGAGGAAAAAAAAACCCAGCACATGTTGTTTTTGTTGCTGTTATGCTGTTATGAGTTGCCTGTAACTCAAAATACAGTTGTCCATAGGTACAATAGTTCTGAACCCTGCCCTGTCCTAAACCAGCCTCACTGACTCCAACACAACTATCACCAATAACCCAGTCACTGAGTCAATCCATTTCATCTGGGGTCTTCCTTTCCTGTACTGTCCCTTCACCCTTCTGAGCATGTTGCCCTTTGCTAAGGACTAGTCCCTCTTGGCCTCATGCCCAAAGTACATGAGATGGAGCTTCAAAGTCCTTGCCTTCAAAAAGAAATTTGGTTTCACCCTCTCCAAGACAGACCTATTTATTCTCCTGGGGGTCCATGGTATGTCCAAGACGCTTCTCCAGCACCACAGTTCAAAGGCATCAATTCTTCTTCTGTCATCCTTAGTCATTGTCCAGCTCTCTAATGCATAGCAAGTAATTACAAAGACCATGGCCTGGATCAGGCACACGTTAGACACAGAAGTTGTACAACGGATCTGACCACTGCCCTATCCTGAGCCATCTTTATAATCTCTCACTTGAGCCCATTGTTATGGTCACTGTGTCTACCCATCATGTTTAGGGTCTTGGCTTTTTTCATTGAGCCTCCATGTTTCAAAGCATAATGTCTTATTTCCAAGGATTGGCCCCTCCTAACAACATGTTCCAAGTATACAAGACTATCCTTGCCTCTAAGGAGCACACCGGTTGCACACTCTCCATGACACATTTGTTTGTTCTTTGGGCAGCCCATGGGATGTATTCGGTGCTCTTCTCCAATACAGCAACTCAAAGGCATGAATTCTTCTGTGATCCTTAATCACCGCCAACTTCCAGATGACTGCTAGTAATCTCAAAGACCATGGCTGGCATCATTTGCACCTAAGTCTTCAAACTGGCATCACTGCTCTTAAACACTTTGGAGAGGTCTTTGACAGTAGATTTTCCCAGTGCAACACATCTTTTGATTTCTTTATTGTTGGTATGAAGTGTGCTGATAGTGAATCCAAGTAAGATGAAGTCATTGAGTATGTCAATCTTTTTTCCATCCAGCATGACACTGCCTATTACCTATCAGTGGTGAGGATTTTTGTTTTCTTGATGTTGAAAGGAATCCATATTGAAGGTTAGACTTTTTTATTTTCTATAGCAAGTGTTTGAAGTTCTCATTTTCACATCATCTGCATAAATCAAGTTGTTGATGAGTCCACCTCTGAACTTGATGCCATCTTCTTCATACAGCTCAGCTTCTCAGATGATTCACTTAGCACACTTTTCACAAGAACCTTAGCAATGTCACTATTTCCTAAGCCTATGAATCTCTGCAAAAATAACTAAGTATGCAAGAATGCATAATTTAACATCCACAATATATTTTGTGAAGCAGGACACCATGTGATTTGGATGTTGGGCAGACATCATATCACAGTCAGATCCCACTTCTTCTTTATCTTGAACACCTCACCAACTTGCTAAGAGGGAGCTGAATTTGTGGTTGATCCTCAACCCACCACATCAGCAATTCTGTACATCTGATATGTGCAGAAATTAGCCAAGTAGCTTTCAAGTAGCCTCAGAGAATTATTTGTTTGTTTTGAGTACTGTTATGATTGTCCAGAGCAGCATGCCTGCATCAAATGCAATGGGATTTAATTCACATTCACAGTTGCTTAATACCCTTTGTTTCGCTTCCAAATTGTTACTTCTCATTTGCCTCTTGCTGTTGCTATCACCAGCACTGGTTTACTGTGCTTGGGAACCATGATATACTCCCTGGCAATACTTTCAAAAGAAAATGAAACAGATTATGCTAGAACACTCTAGGGATAGAGAGTACATGAGATTGGATGCGACTGCCCAAGAGTCAAAACATACACTATTATGTAGTAAACTTTTCTGATAGCAAGTATAATACAATTCATGAATCAGCTAATATTAATCTCTTAATTATTACTACCAAGACATAAGGGAGTTCTGATGGCTCAATTTGTAGGGAGTTATGCTGCTAACTCAAAGACCTTGCCTTTCTTGGGGTTCAAACCCACCAGGAGTTCTGTGGAGAAAGATGAGTAATCACCCCTTATATGATTTACCGCCTGAGAAACCTCAGCAGAGGTTCAGCTGTGAGAAAGTTTTGATTCACCAGCTAGGAGTCAGTCCTGACTCAAAAGCAGAGAGTTATATGTCTAGCAATACAGTCGATTTGTATAAAAGAAGTATGAACTATACATTCTGCGTACGGAAAGCCGCTCTTTTTATTACATCTCATTTTCTGTTTGGGATTTCTGAAGTCTTTTATAACTTTATGGGACCACTGAACCTACATGATTGGACATTGCTCAAATAGAACTTATTCAACACAAGACAGTATTTTTAAACTGAAGTTCACTTCACACAAAGCAATCCACAAATTCAGAAGTAATTTTCTTAAATACTGGTTAGAATTTAGGATTACTATACATTTTTGGGAAACAAGATACTTGTCAAGCAAATATCAAAAGCAAAAGACAAAATTCAAGTCCAAATAAAACACAAACACAAGTCTAAAGAAAAATTTTCAAGCATCCTTGGTCTAAGATGTTCTTACAATTTCAGGGTTTTAGAACTCCAGCTCAGAAGGCAGGCTTATTTAACTTTTCTAGACTGTGTTAGGACATGGTTTTACTTTTATAAAAGTACATTCTTTAGAAGATGCTCCAGCTATTGGTTAAATTAATCCTTCAGAATGATGTGAGAATCTGGGTCCACACTATAGTGTTTTTACCTTATCAGCCTGACGCATATAGCAGTAGAGAATTCCTCTCATACACTTTATAGCAGAATGCTCCAGCTCATAGGTCCTTCCTTTGTCATCATCAATGCGCCTGGGTAAGAGAGATAAGTAATGAAACAAATTGGAAATGCATTGGAAAAAGCAGCAAAGCTTTTGATAATTAAGTATTTGACTATCCGACTAATCCTGTGTTCTGGTGATGTCTACTAATTCTGTCACAGTGAAACTCCATTTTCACAGCCAATGAATGTGGAACGGTTGCAATAAAAATTTCAAAGGCTAAATTTGTGCAGATTTCTTACCCAAAGCTCAATACTTTTAAGGAAGTAATCTAGTCACTATAAAAATAACAAACAATATCTTCTATATGTACTTGGATAAAGCTTAAAAGGACACGTCTACCATGGGAAAATTCACTTAGATATTCTCTTTTAACTCACTGTTATAGTTGAGGCAATTTTAATACCAATCCCCTTAAGTTAAGCAATAGCCACTTAGATTCAAGGAACTTCAAATTAAGAAAGTGCTAGAACTTCTTTAATCCATCATATGTTGATATTGCTAGGGGTGCCCTTTAATATACAGTTGAAGATGCCTTCGTTTAAAAAGTCTAGAGGGTATCATGCTAACTAATTCTCATAAGAACAATTCCTGTATAAGACCATTATTATAAAAACAAAAGAATAAGTAGTAAGATATGTATAAGTCCAAGAAGGAAAGGGAAGAATGCAGGGGAGTAGGGAAACAGAAAGTGAGGAGGGGAGAAAATCACTATGATAAAAGAGTTTGGTGGGAGAGGGCTGGCAAACTGGCAGGGGGAAGGTGAAGATGGAGACCTGAAAATATGGGGTACTTAGTAGTAATCATAGATCAATGGTGATTAATTTTATAAAACACAATGTTACCAGTGATCATTTGAAACAAAATAGTAATGTAGGAGTAAGTGCAACACAATGTACATGGTATATGAATTTTGTATACAAATTTAAAATTTTTTTAAAAAGTAGAAAAAAACCCTAAAAAATATAAAAAGATATTACTAGCTGGTTTATCTGTTTGAAATTGCTAGGTAGAAATCTTTGTTATTGTCATTACATGCAATCATGTCAGAAGTGGTACACAGCTGACACCCCAGGTTTTTAGAAGATGTAAATTGTACAGGGGGAGACTGTCCATCTCTCTCCGGTGGAGAAGCTGATGAATTTAAACCACTTGCCTTGGATTGACAGCACGAATCCTTAACAAGTAGGCCAGCAGTGCGTCCTCGTATATGGGAGCCAGGGATTTAAATTTAAGAATCTCAGTTTCCAAAGTCCAAGTTTTACAGACATAAAAAAAATTAAAGTCTTAAAACAGGTTTAAATTCTGAGAAATAAAACATTTGAGGCTAAATTTTCTTGGGCCATGATGCAGACCATTTTGACTGACTTGATAGTTTCAATGTTTTTATATATGTTTGGTTTGATAGTGCTAAAAATAGAGCTGCTATTTTTTAATCTGTTTGTCTTATGACCCATAATTCTTGAAGGAAGAAAATAAGTTGGGTGAAAGGAAAGGTAATAAACAATGAAGAGATGATTAGACACTGTAATTAATGAATTAATGATAATTAATATTATAAAAAGTCTATAAATAATTGTATTTAAAACTATTAAGATTTGTAAACTTTCAAATTCAAAACTAACAGAAACATTTTTAACTAAAAAATGAGAAAACTACATTGTAACCACAAAGAAAAACAGTCTTAGAAAATATAGATCATTATAACACTTTCTCAAATAGAAAGCGTGAGTGAAAATACTCCCTTCATGCAACCTGAAATATTTACAATATAATATCTACCAAAAGATCTACATTTGGGGTTTTTGTAATAATTATTAAGAGTCTATTAACACATACTGAGCTCTCATACTCTAGTGGATAAGGAACGGTGCTGTGAACTCAAAGTGGTGATGTTTATTGTTGGGTGCCATCGAGGCAGAACCGACCCACAGCTGACCCTCCAGAGGGTTTTCAGAAGCAGTTAATGGCATGGGAGGAGACTGTCCATTGGGTCTCCTGCAGAGTAGCTGGCAGATTCGAACCATGCGACTTTGGGATTATAGTACAATTTCTTACCACTAAGTCAACAGAGCTCAAAGGTAGACAAGACAAATCCACCAGCTGCTCAACAGAAGACAGGCAACCACTTCTCCTATCTGCCTCCCAGCCTTGCCCCATATGATTTATAGTCTCTGAAAATCCAATGATAGGTCAGCTAAGAGTTGGTTCTGATTAAAAATAAATGTGTTTTCAGAAAAAGATATTATTTTCTCATTCATTTGCTTGTGTGTTATGTGAGGAAACACTGTGACTTTTGGGGGATAAGATAGTGGGCAAGACAAACAAAGCCTCTGAAAACAAGAAAAGTAAAATCCAACAGACAAGAGTGTAAAAACCATCAGTGGCAAGGAAGGACAGGGGAGTTCAGCTGAAATGGCAAGGGCACAGGTAGAGTTATGCACCAAAATCACCCTGGATCCAATGAAGAGAACATGTTGGAGAAATTAAATTTTGGATTTTGAAGGTAGTTATAATAATCCAAACAAGAGATGATGATGGACAATATATAGTTGAAGGCTAACATTAGCTATATAAAGGACGGGTTTGTTGTTATATTTTAGTAAAGAGTATTTCATACTGATATATAGGCTTTGGGGAAATTTTTAATAGGACAATTATTACAGGATAATATTTCCTATTAATTAATTATTTAAAATAATATTTCATATTATTAAAATTTTAAATTAATACTTGTTCCTAAAAAAGAATTCAAAGTGTTCTGGGAAAGAAAAAAATACAAATATACATAGCTCCAGCTAAGACAAATAAAAATGTTCCTTGAAATAGTCATAAAATCATATAAGTAAAGCAACTGTTTTAGGCATTGGACAAGAGGTGGCACAAGACAAGTAAGGAAGACTTTAGGTGAGCCTACAGTGATGCTGAGGTTTGGCCTGGGGATAACTTTTCAGAGCAAGATGGAATGCAAACAAAGCATGGGACTTCCACCAAGTTAAAGCAGAGCTCAAATTCCAGGGGAACTGAGGGAGCTGAATCTGCAGAGCAGGAAATAAGAGAAGGCAGCATTAGATGTTTACAGAAGGCTGTAAACTTGAAGTTTAGTCACTTGAAGGCTGTGCAATATATAAACAGGGCAGGGCTACTTAAATGTTATCAGAGAGTAGCTACTAAGAGGTTAAAAAAAAAATTAGAGCTAGGAAAGGACAGGGCTGGGATACTTGTAATTCCACTTTACCAAATAAAAAAAACTAAGCATTCACAGCATTAGTCGATGAAATAAGGATTGGAATTGTGTAACGTCAGGTTGTAGAGACTAAAGAATGACATCTGCAAAAGGACAAATACTGCATGGTGCCACTGCTGTAAAATAGGGTTGATATCAGGGTTGGGGTAAGACTGAGAAAAACTGGACAAATTGTGTATACCGCATTGAAACAGATGAGGGAAAGAATAATTAAAAAACGATATATGATCATAAAAGTCCACAACTGAGGTTGCATAGTGGAGTGTACTCGGGGCTGTGGGAAGGGTGCGGGGGGATTGTATACCAAAGAAAGAATTTTTCTTTTACTTTTCAAAAAGAGGAGCCAACTGGGGGGGGGGGTGTGCCTGGGCAGGGAGAAAAGTGCAACAAGGAATGAATGGAAATCTAAAAAAAAAAAAGAATGACATCAACAAAGTATAAAACCAAGCCAAGGAAAAGGTAATTAGCCAGTAACTAACTAAACTGCTGAATGGAATAAAAATGAATGCTTCAAAAAAACCCAGTCTCTATAACTATAAAGTCCAGTATATTAACAAAATGTAAAGATCTGCAAATAGGTAATATTATGTTAGTCCCCCAAACCAATAGAAACTGATTTTGAAATGGTTCCAGCACTTGATTTAGCAGATGGATTTCAAATTAGTTATTTTAAGTATGTTTCAAGTGTGAAAGTAACAAACAGACAAGGAAAAAGGCACCCTGACAGAGTGAACACATAAGGAATGTAGACTAAGGACTGGAAATTATAGCAAAAGGCCAGATATAAGTAGTAGAAATTAAAAGTACAATAACTATAATAAAAAAAAAAAACACCATTTACTTAATGACTGAAAGTGGTACACAAAAAAAAAAAAAAGAGAGAGAGAGAAAGGGATTTGAAAACAGACTAAGAGAAATAACCCGAGTGGAATAATAATGTGACAGTATTGTTCAAAAATAAGTGGTTCATTTAATCAATATAAATGTAAACACGGTCCCAGGAGGTCCAGAAGCAGAGTCTGTAACATGTTGAGACCAAAAGGTTGTGGTTTAAATCCACTAGTGGCTGTGCGGAGATAGATGGGCATTCTCTTGTTAAGATTAACAGCCTCAGAAACTCAATGGAAGGTCGGTAAGGGTTGGATTCAATTACACATCAATGAGTTTGAGTTTGACAATGCAACAAAAGTAGGAACTGAGAAAAATTTTTTTTAAATGGATAATAGGTAAAAATTTTTCAAATGTTAAAACATTAATTCATGAATTAAACTAAGTACAAGGCAAGATGAACACATTTTTTTAAATAGTAACATCCACACATATCACATATGAGAAATATTTTTTAAAAATGTCTAAGAGCCAGATGTTGTTTTTGTTGTTTGGTGCCGTCGAGTTGTAGATGACTCACAGCAACCCTATGAACGAACAGCCTGAGCACTAAGAGCCAGATAGATGGGAAAAATATTGAAAGAAAATGTGGGATTTATTTAAAAATAATATGTATGTGACAATATAATGTACACATATGTGAACAAAGAAAACTAATAAGTGGAGGTTGTTCACTTTGTAAAAACTATGTAGCTTTCACACTACTTGTCTAAAAATTCAAAAAAGTATTTAGGGGAAGAATACCGGGTAGACTGGCTATTCATCAGGGTCAAAAATGTCAGAAGATGAAAGAAATTATATCTAAAGGGTGGTCAAAGGAAAAAAATTCAAAACTGAATTCTACGTACAACAAAACAGCTTTTTTTCTTAAAAAAAAAAGGAAAGTATTTTTAGAT